GAAAAGAGCCCCCTTCTGAAGTGTCATTGTTACCAACAATTGGGTACTCAGACTAGAAAAGTTAGATTGCAGCAGTTTAAAATGATCCCCTGTTCTTTTGAAAAGTACATCAGAGATAAAAAGGATGAGACAAGTAAATTTGAATGCAGATTTTGAATAAAGTCAAGTCATATAGTTCATATGTTAAGTTGAAGCTCAAACTTATGGCAATTGGAGTTAGATGCAAAACTCAATTCTTGCTTTACATGGCACATCTTGGAAATATCTAAATTCTTCTCAGGGATATTTAAATGCTTGGCATTAGGCTGATAATATTAAAAGAAGTATAAATTAGTAATCTGATGTTGCATACCCACTATTCACTTACTAACTGAAAAAGAAAATTATAGGATCAATCAAAAATCAGAAAGCTCTAACAAATTAGATATTAGTTAAAAAGATTTTAAAAGTAAAATTGAACAGAAATAGAAAACACTCAGAACACATGAAATTATTTCAGTACTGCCTATATTCACAGTTTTGTAAATATGTCATGCATGCATGGAAAATTTAGTGAGATCTATAAATATATATATTTTTTTTTCCACAAGAATATGATTTTTTTCCATAAATGTTTACATTTTTCATTGTCTGAAATAAGCGTGTGGTATATTTACTTTGAAAAGCAAGAAAAATAAGCACCATGTGACCCTACCAAGCTAAAATTAACATAAATAAATAAACAAGTTAAATTAAATTAAAAATTCTGTCAGAAAAAGGACTAATTTAGAAGGGGATAGTTGATTGGGTTACAATTTCATTACAGGACTTCAAATCTGGGTCAGCATCAGAGATTTTTCTTATTCAATTGGTTGGGTTTTTTTTTCCCCTTTTCAACATTTTTGTTGACTGTGGAATCTCTAAGAATCTCTGAGAAGATTTACAGCAAAATTTTTCTATTAATATTTACTATTTCTGTAGGTTTTCAATTTGTTTTAAGCTGGGATTGTTCAGTCTGGAGAAGAAGAGGCTCAGGGGAGACCTTATTGCTCTCTATAAATACCTGAAGGAAGGTTGTAGTGAGCTGGAGGTCAGCCTCTTTTCTCATGTTACTTGTGATAGGACTGGAGGGAAAGGCCTCAAGTTGTGCCAGGGGAGATTCAGGCTGGATGTTAGGAAATACTACTTTTCTGAAAGTGTGTTCAGGTGCTGGAATGGGCTGCCCAGGGAGTTGGTGGAGTCACCAACTCTGGAGGTGTTCAAGGAACATTTAGACATTGTGTTGAGGGACATGGTTTAGAGAGAACTATGGGTGATAGGTGGACAGTTGGACTGGATGATCGTGGAGGTATTTTCCAACCTTTGTGATTCCATGATTTTTATTTAGGGAGAAATTCAGAACAAATGGTAGTTCTAGAATCACATTCATCTATTGGTAACAGCATAATTTTCTAATGAGTAATGATCTAAGAAGGTGCTATTTTTCTAAAATGCAGTCAATGTTCCAGTAAAAGAAAATATGCATTTCTGCATTTATTATCCTGATCTGCTCTATAAAACGTACTCTAGATTTTTCTCTTTATGAAAACAGACAGGATATGCAATGATCTGCTACAATCGTATTTGTTAATTGTTTTTCCCATCTGGAATTCATTGTCCAAAACAAACTCTTTGACTTCCTATTACCTTAGAAGATGCCACAGTAAATTTACTAGTTTGCTGCTTTGAAATACTGCCAGTGATTGATGAAATATTGGACATAAGTAGCTAAAGCTGATATAATTCCTGTGGAGCATGAGCTATGACAATTCAAATGTACTACTGACTTACTGACTTATTGCAGGCAGTGTATTCGTATTTGGAGCACCTTTTGAAGAACTGAAATAATGTTGCAAGTTTTAAAGTATTTTCCATAGGTTTTTTTTTTTGTTAGTTGTTTGTTTGTTTTTTGTTTGTTTGTTTGTTTGTTTTGCACTTTCCAAGTATTCCCAGCTGAGATTTCTGAAACATGCAGTGTCTAGTAGGTAATAAACAGGACTGGATGTCACAAGTGGATATGAACAGAAAAGTCATTGGGACTACCTGAAACATAGAATCTAGTTCTCTCCATACCAGAAGTATCTATTTTTAAAAAGGGTTCTGAGAGCATTGATATCACTTATGCTGAGAATTTAGTTGTGATTCAAGTTCAAAGGGAAAAAAGGTTAGTATGACATGAAGACAGTCAGAACGAAAAGTTCATTTATAATAAAAAGTTATCTCTGATCTCTACAGAACTATTGTTTTGCTTTACTGGCAGAGTAACAACAAAATATTAACAATAATTTTAAAACTTGGGAAATAAAAACAGTACGGGGAAATTAAAATTCTGGATTATCCTGAAAATAAGTTTTAGCTCTGATTTCAGTGCTTATTTATACCATTCATTGATGCCATATTAGGTTATGCTTATCTTACTTTCTTGTCAGTCTCTTAACAATTAAATGGTAGTATATCTGCATTGTTAATGAGAGGTAAGAATAGGATGTTGGGTTCTTGAAGATGGGTGAACCGATATATTGTTTAAAGTGTTAAACTCTAGTGCCAGAAAGTGTAAATATATACTTTATTTTAAAAAGAAATAAACAATGAATGGTCAACAGTATAGGGAAGAGGTTTCACTTGTTTTCTTTGGAATTTTGGGTTATCTATCTTTGGAATTTGGGGTTATCTATTGTGTTTTTCTGAGACTAAGAAGGGTATTAATGAAAATTAAAATTTCATCAGTGTCTTTTACAACCTATCTGAGAAAAAGTTATTCACAGAATTATGCAGGAATCAACCACCTGCACTAATCTGAAATACAAATATTTCAGTGCTTATCAGGGTACTGCTTTGCCACTACAAGTAGTTCCCAGCAATTTTTTAAGTGCATCATAGCAATTTTATGAAGCCTCTTGAAGATCAGTTTATATACAGCATGTTTTTTAAAATGTGTCAGATGATGAGTTAATCACAGCGTGTTAGTCAGCTAACTCAAGTCAGGGGAACTCAATCTTCATATCTCCAAATAGCACAGAAAGAACAAAGGAAAAGGACAGGGAAAAACAAAAAGATAGGAAAGAAAACACTGAATGATTTACTATTCTTTACTTCCTTCTCTGTCTCCATATTTTCTTCTTTTATCATGTTCCTTTCCTTGTCATTAGATTTTTTTCCTTCATCTTGCTGTTGCATTTATTTTATTAATAGCATGCTATTATTGTTACTGAATCTTTCAAAGTTCTTTCTGGGGGCTGTTTTTCACAGAAAATAAAAGATAAAAGCTAAATGAGTTGTACAATTGTCTGATTTCTTTCATGTTTGGACTTCCTTTAGTAAAAATTATTATTAATGCTAGACTACTATCTCCATATTCTCTATCTTTTGTCTAATCACCAACTCTTTTTTTTTTTTTTTTTTTTCCCACAGCTTCAGAAGTACAGAAAGCCAAATTGATGGGTTAGCTTTTTAAAGACCCTATTTAGTTCTCTGGCCATTAATCTACTTTAAATTAAAGTAATGATTTTATAATCTCTCTCTGAACTGCACAACGTTTAAAGACTTTGAAGACTTAGGATAGCAAAGTGTGACCTTATGGTGCAGTAGTCCTCAACTACTGAATGTTAAACAAAATTCTTTGGAAATTTTTCGTGCTACCTAATCATTATCACACAAACTGTTGTTAATACTGGAACAAGTTAGGAGAAAAAAGTGAGTGCCTGTGGAATTTCTGACAAGCTTTAAAAGAAAAAAAGAATATATTTAATATGAAATCACAGTCATGAAAACAATTTACAATAAAGCAGCATATTTTAACAGAAGTCCATATTCAGTAATTGCAACCAAGGCTAGATAAATTGACTCATGGAGTTATATAGGGAAACAAATTCAAAGTGTTGTGCTTGAAATAGATTCACTTCTTAGCCATATACATTTGTATGATGCATATGAATTTCCAAAACTTCTTGAGTGTTAAATTCAGAAGCCTGGGACTCTAAGCTCCATCCAGTTTCTGTTGTGATTCTACACTTTTGCAGCAAAGTTTCAAGGCAGAGTTTTGTATTAGTATTGCATTTCAGTAGTTACGTATTGAGAAGGTAGAAACTGTTTTGAATGCATGCAGCATGAGGAATATAGATTATAAGAACATATTCTGACATGGGTTTAAAATGCTTTTGTGTCAATTCATTTTGAGTTGAAGGCCTCTCTGTTTGCAGTCTTTCAGATGTATTAGTGCCATAGTAAAATATTTCACACTAGGATGCCTTGGCCATGTAAACCAAGGCAAGGAATAGAAAGCATCCTATCTGCTATCATTCAGAAACGGGTAATAAAGAAAACTATGCTATCTTGATTGCTTAAACCCAGATTCACAGAACGGTTTGTGTCAGGAAACTTTTTTTTTTCCTTTGTGCTTTTGTTTTGCAGTTTCTATCCTGCATCTCTGTCACTCCTGTCTCTGGTATCTTTGAAAACCTTTCTGATATTTTTTAAATACGTCATATATAAAAACATCAGATTCATAATTTCTTTTAACATTCCTGATCTCTCTTCCTTTTTTCTTTTTTTTCCCCCAAATCTTGTCCAGTATTCTCTAAAATATTTTTTCATACATATTCATTCATTTTTGTCAGTTTCCTTCTCCTTCTTCCTACTGTGAATATTTCCAAGGGAGTATATGGCTAATTCGGATATTCACAAAACTGTACAAGCTGCACAGTTGAGTTTCTGAACTAGAATGAGATACCAGACAACATTCATTCAGTCTTATCATGTAACTGCAATGTTTCAGATGTATACATGATTATTTTGCCATCTAATTTAAAGCAGAATTTTGCAACACTGTAACACCTACTGATAGATAACATCAATATTTAAGGATTGTTAAGGTTTTCTGTTTCCAGAGCTACGCCATGAATTTTCTTATCTAGTTCTTGTTTTCTTCCTGCTAGATTATGTCAGCTTCTGAGACCCCAAGCCTTTCAATTAATGCAACCTACCTGAGCAAGCGCTCCTTGTAATTCCTCTTTACTGACTCTGAAGAATTCAGGGACATAGCTAAGATACTCATTTCTACTGCTTCATTTTCTTTAGCCCGGATTCCTGAAGTCCTTCTTGCTGCAGCTGGCTTCCTTCCCAAAGCTCCCGAATGCTATGTTCTCTACTGCCATAATCTCCAAGCTTCATTCTGTCATCTCTGGTTTAAAAGAAAAACAATAACAAACTTTTGATAATATCCAAGTCTGGATGATTGTATTGACCTTTCACTGATGTTACATCAGTCATTAAATGAGTTGATTGGTGTTGGCTGAGATCTCTGTGTTAACAACAGCTGGAGAGAAATCTGGAGCTATTTTTATAGCAGCTGACAAATACCTTTTTCTGGAAATCTCTCTTCTTAAAAACTCCAGTAACTCAAATTAAAAATCACTGTCTCTAAGCACAGGTAGGGAAAACCGTTCCATATGCTGAAAGTCTCATTTCTCTGCATAATAAATGGAAGTAGATGCCATGTAACTGACGTGCTCTGAGGTGCACTTTGGAGATAACCTTCTTTCATTCTATGTATAAGTAAGGAGCCTAAGCAATTAACGGAGATTCCCAAATTAGGTGTCTAATGTAGCCACCAGGAAAAAAATTCCTCTTTCCTTAGATAAAATAGAATATTTTGCACTGCAATCTGCATACCTAAGAGAAGTCTTTGAAAAAGCCAAGAAAAACAGTATCTTTAAACAATTAAACAATTTCAGTTTTATATTCACACGTCTTTTCTTTTTTTTTTTCTTAAAAATACAGTGAATTTCCAGTTAATATGAAATTCTATGTATTTGAGTACCCACAAACACTGATTGCCCTTAGAATATACACATTCTGCAACATATCATTTATATTTCTATGAGAATTTATCTTTCTGAACATCTTTTCTGCTTCTGTGATGCTCTACATGATTCCTTCTTCCATATAAAATAGTTATTATATTTCAATCTGAGATGTAACTTATAACTAATATATTATTCTGTCTTGATCTAGATTTAGATTAAAAATAAACAATAAAAGAATTATTAACAATGTCAATTATGGAACAATCCATTTAGAATTCAGTACTCAGGCCAGTAGGCTCTAGCACAAGAAAGGTGTGGAACTGTTGAAGTTGGTACAGAGGAGGCCATGAAGATGATCAGTGCTGGAGCACTTCTGCTATGAAGAAAGGCTGAAGGAGCTGAGTTTTTTGAATCTGAAAAAGAGAAGGCTCTGGGGAGTACTAAAAAGGAACTTATAAACAGGGGAGAGAGAGTTTTTACACAAATCTGACAGTAGAAGGACAAGAGGAAATTGTTCTAAATCAAAGGAAAGAAGATTTAGGGTAGATATTACATGGAAATTCTTTACTCAGAGAATGGTGAGGCAATGGGGCAGGCTGCCCAGAGAAGCTGTGGTTCCCCATCCCTGGAAGTGCTCATGTCCAGGATGGATGGGGCCCTGGGCAGCTGAGCTGGTAGATGGCAACCCTGCTCTTCCAACTCAAGCCATTCTGTGGTTCTGATTCTACAAATACAACATGGAGCAATGGCACAGAACCTTTTCAGCATTCTTGCCCATCTTCCTCTTTCTTGGGATGCACTGCTTCTGGGCTGGTGGAGATGGCCCAACTTTCTTGGGACACTCGTCCCTTCAGGGCTTTATCCAGTGTTACCCTGCCAAGCAGTTCCCTGAAGAGGTTGAAGTCTGCAGCAAACCTGCTACTCTGGAGCTCAGGAGAACAGATCTGAAGCAGACCCCCACCTGGAGTACTGCATCCATTTCTGGGGACCCCAACACAAAAGAACATTGAGATGTATGAGTGGGTCCAGGGGAGGGCCACAAGGATGATCAGAAGGCTGGAGCATCTCCCCAATAGGGAGAGGCTTGGAGAGTAGAGGCACTTCAGCCTGGAGTGGAGAAGGCTCCAGAGTGAAGTCATAGCAGCCTTCCAGTACCTGAAGGGGGCTTACAGGAAAGCTGGGGAGGGACTTTCTATAATGAGAGGTAGCAACAGGAATGAGGGGTATTGGCTTTAAACTGGAAGGGGATAGAGTTAGATTAGATGTTAAGAAGAAATTATTTACTGTGAAAGTGACGATACTCTGGAACAGGTTGCCCAGGGAGGTTGTGGATGCCCTCTTCCTGGAAATGTTTGAGGCCAGGAGTGATGGGTCTAGAGGGAATTGTCCCTGCCCATAGCAGGGGGGCTGAAACTAGAAGATCTTAAAGGTTCCTTCAAACCCAACCCATTCTGTGATTCTATGAATGTTTATATTTAAGCAATATACTAATGAACTCTGAGAATACAGAACTGACCTACGAATATATTTTACACTGCATACTATATATCTGCTTAAGGTATGAGGTATATACCTCAAATGTTTGAGGTAGCATTTACTCAGGTTTGCAAACTGCCTATATTTAAGCCCAATAAGGCACGTACTTTGTTAATGAATTAATGCTCTTATAATCTATTTTTGGCTTCTAAGCCATTACTTAGAGAGCAAGAACAGCAGATACTATATTTTTGTCTTTACTTAGTGTTTTGCCTGTCATAGTAAGTAAATGTAATCTGCATTATTAGTAACTGTCAACAGCACACTCTGAGCAGAAGGCAAATACAGCAGGTGGTAAAAAAAGAAGAGATGGCTGAAAGCAGAAAAGCAAAACAAATGATTGCCAGGAACAGCTAATCTAGTTATGCATAAATTTAAGACGATTTAAATGCATGCACATCTTCCACTGAAGGAGAAATATTTGACAGAAAAGGAGATAAACTGACCAATTGTTGTTATAAGTCCATTTGTCAGAAATCTCAAGTGCTAAAAACCTTTTATAAATCTCTAATTACTTTGATGCTATTATTAGAAACCTAACCTACCAGACATTTTGAACTTCCTAAGTGATGACACATCAGACAGTGAACTTATGCCAGAGGATCGTTGCTTTGTTTATTAAGGCATAAGATAGGTGATCATTTTGGGTTACTGTACATCTCCATAGCCAACATTTAAACTATTCAAATGTTTTTGCAGGTGATTAGTATCCATGTGCTATATCTTGTGAGAGTTAAAGGCATAAAAAAAAAAAATGCTCACAGAGAGTGATAAACAACATTGTGCCAGTTGCCTATTTTATATCTCATTATCTAGTGTTTTTCAGTAACTCATATCAAAAAAGTTTATGCAGAAAAGTCACAAAAAAGCAACAGCTGTTGGGTTGTGTTTTTTTCTTCCATTTCTGGTGATGTGAGTGGGTTAGGAGAAATCTGCCAACGCCTTCTACATCTCTCCAGAGACTGTAGGGCAGTCTGCTTGGAGCCAAGTGTAGAATTTCACTTCTCCCAAAGCTCAATACCTCTATATGATAGATACTGAACTTTTGGCACTCAATAAAAAACCCTTCAAAATAATTGGTTATAGTGCAGGTTGAAGATAGCTTGACCTTAAAATATTAGGTGGCTGCTGTTAATATATTCATCTAATCCCAGTTAAACAATTATCTCAGTCTCTGAAATGACTTGGCCTAACTTCGTAAAACATTGAAACATCAACAACAAAAAATCTGCCTGGTTTGAAATTCAAAAACATTCTATGAGAAGCTGAAAAGACAACATCTTACTTCTAGAACGTTCTCTCTGGTATATATCTTACCTACTTATCAGGTAAATAAGTGTGACCTCAGGGCTCAATGAGTGTTTACAGTGTGATCTGCTGCAAACCACTTCTCTGTCCTACCCACATGAATTGTAGTAACTTTGCTCAGGTATTTCTTTTCTGAGGTCTCCACAGATATGACACATAAAAATAAGAGGAAATTAAAAAAAGAATGCCAGGCCTTTAGAACACACCAAGCTCCACACAGATAAAATAACTCCTGTGGAGATTTTCTGCAGTACTACCTCTACAAAGTTAAGGAAACAAACAGACAAAACAACACTAAACAAACAAAAATTAAGCCCGTATTTACTTCTTGCACTCATATGACTAGTGAAAGGAGGGTGTAAATTAATCCAAGGTAATGCAATGAAATATGACACTTCTCTGAAATGCTCCTGAGTTCTATGTCAGATTCAGGCTCCCTGCCATTGTGCAGGGCAGCCATTAACAGCATCGCGGAGATAGTGCCAGGATCCTTAGGAGCTGCTAAACTTCCAAGGAAAGGAGTTACAGAAGAACTCCACGGGAGTTCTGCAACATGCAGGGAAGTTAGTGTTAAGTCACTGCAGTGTAATTAAGGCAACTGGGGCATAACGTTTCAGATTGTTCAGAATAAAATCCCAGAATACGTCAGTTTTCGGTTAGGCTTTGCATAGAACATTTTCCCTTTTGACAGCTGAATGGGACAGATGGCCTTAGAGCTCTGTCACCACTGCACAAAACTCTATAGAGAATTTTTTTTTTTTTTCCTATGTTGTGATGCAACAATTAAATTTTTGAATTTCCAGTTTGCTATTAATAATCATATTATATAATGAATATCTTTTTTTGAGAACTGAATAAGAAAAGCTTTCATCCTACAGATTTTTAAAATCAACTTAAAGCTTAACCTGAAGAGTTTTAACTATGATAAAAGGAATGTTACCTTCCTCATATTTGAACATGAATTTCGCTATGAATTTTATGAGAAAAGTCCTACTTGCTTCACTGATATAAAATATTCATGAATTCCTATGTGAGTGCTGAGATAGACAATAGTCGCACAAGAGAAGTTGTCTCGCTCTACTGCATTTGAATTACCCATAACAAAATCCTACTCTGGTGAGTACACAAGTTCCTACACATTTTAATTTATAAATACTTTGAATCTGAACATCTAAAAAAAGTTAAAGACCTATTCTTCGGACTTTCTAATACTATCAGTCCTGTCATGGCCGTTATGACTTGCAGCACAAATTTTATGGGATAGTATCAATCTCTTGTACTCCAAAAAAAAATATACATAAAGGAACACTCCCTTCCTACAATTTAAAGCTAGAGCGCTTGAAGGGAGTACAAAGAGAAATAAACTGTGACATTTCCTTTTGTTTTCATTAATAAAAAAGTACTTCTGCATGCTGACCTAGATCTGCATGTATTTTCCCATGCAGCCTACAGTTAAAATTGCAGGATTCACAACAATCAAGGGACATTGAAGAAAAACATTATTTTAAAAGAGAATGAATAGTAATATGAC